ATCTACATCTATTGGCTGGAACCTGTGAATTCTACTTTATTTTTTATTTATTTATTGGCAGCTGGTCAGCGTGGAGATCCAAACCCTTAAAGTTGGTATTTATTACAAGGTGGTGCTCTAACCAACTGAGCTAACCAGCCAGCCCTGAATCCTACTTTAAATGACAAAAGGACCTTTGCAGATGTGGTTAAGTTAAGGATCTCGATATAATGGAGAGATTATCCTGGACTATTCAAGTGAGCCCTAAATGTAATCACAAGAGCCCTTAAAAGAGGGTGGCAAGAAGGTCAGGTGAGTAAGAGGTGATATAATGATGGAAGCAAGAGGTTGGAGAAATACTGGAAGGGGGCCATGAGCTACGGAATGTCACTGGCTTCCAGAAGCTGGGAAAGGCGGGACAGGGATTCTCCCCTGGATCCACCAGAAGGTTCTAGCCCTGCTGACTTGACTTCTGGCCTCCAGAACCACACAAGAATACACTGGTGCTGTTTTAATCCCCTAAATTTGTGGAAGTTTGTTACAGCAGCTACAGGAAATTAATACAATAAAGCCAATGAATTAGCAAATCCATCAGGGTTTCTCCATGAACTTTTCAATTTAAAATCACTTTTCAATTAAAAATAGTAGGTTAATAAAATAAAGACAAGAAAGATACACTATATATGTATATATATGGAAAATACTCTATACATACACATATATGGAAAATTCCAGAAGGAAGGTATTAGACCTCATGGCCAGCTTAACATCAGCACAGCCAGGTTAAGCGACTTTCCCCCTTCTCCCCCTCCCCTTTCCCTGTTCTGCTCCAGGAACTGAGATTCCTCTCCTGGGAAGGGGTAAACATTACAGTTATCATCAAGGGAACGTCTTGCGGGCTGCATTTAGCAGGCTTTGGGCTGGAATACTTTGTACTGAGAAAGTGGCTAGTCAAGGGCCTATGACTTAACCTACCAGATATCACTGGACCACAAGGGCTGTCACCTTATGTACCACTGATTTCGAAATTGCCCATGACTCGGCCTGAACCCTCCCTAGAAGTCTTATAAACCTCATGCTTTCCTTAGTTCACGGGAACTGATCCGGTTCAGTCTCTCCGCCACATTAGTGGAATAAACCTTTTGGCTGAAATGGCTCCTGACTCGGGTCTCTCTCTCTTTTTTCCATCTCGCTGAACCTAACAGAAGGATGCAACTCTCCTGGAGGTGCCAAGAGCAAAGGAAAGACCAGAGTTAGGTAACTGGATGGTGGCATTAAAAATAAATTTAAGAGCTAACTGGTTAGATCAGTTGGTTGGAGCATGGTTTTAATAACACCAAGGTCAGGGGTTCAGATCCTTACACAGACCAGCTGCCAGAAACTGGATGGTGGCATTAAAAATAAATTTAAGAGCTAACTGGTTAGATCAGTTGGTTGGAGCGTGGTTTTAATAACACCAAGGTCAGGGGTTCAGATCCTTACACAGACCAGCTGCCAGAAAAAATAAAATAAAATTCAACTCCCAGGCATCACCTCCAAGTTTCTAACTGCTTTAGTCTCGGGGCAGAGCCTGAGAATCTATGTTTTAATTATAGAAATTTCATAGAAAAGGAAGCTTCACTTCATGCCACAAAGAAGACCCTTCTAGAGACTCATGTCCCCAAGAGGCTGAATGGAATTGTGTACAGGGATTCTCAACCTCTATACTATGGACATTTTGGACCGGATCATTCTCGTGGAGGGGCATCCTGTGCATTGCAGGATGTTTAGCTGTATCTCTGGCTTCTACCCACTAGATGCCAATAGCACCCAGCTCCCATCATGACAACAACAAATGTCTCCAGACATCCCCAAATGCCCCCTGAGGAACAAATTGCCCCTGGTTGAAACTCACTAGGTTACAATAAGATTTAGAAACATCACTGCAAAACATGAGAAACAGTGTAAATGTTTCCCAAGATGGGACTGGTTAACAAACCTGGATAATCCGTACTGGCCAATACATGATGAATTGTTAGGATTTAATAAGAAAAATAAACATGGCAGCCTCTACTGAAACTTTTTTTTTTTTTTTTAAAGATGACCGGTAAGGAGATCCCAACTCTTGGCTTGGTGTTGTCATCATCACGCTCAGCCAGTGAGCGGACCAGCCATCCCTATAGAGGATCCGAACCCGTGGCCTTGGTGTTATCAGCACCGCACTCTCCCGAGTGAGCCACGGGCCGGCCCATCTACTGAAATTTGAAATGCACATTCCTGTTAACTCAGCAATCCTGCCATATCAGTTTACCCAACTGAACTAATAATCCAGTATGAAAGATGTGTTGTATCGTGCAGTTCACTGCAGGGCTGAGATGTTCTTAATTAGAATGGCCACAAAAATGAAGGTCCATCCCTATCACGGAGTATTTAACAATCCAAAAAGAACGTCAGCTGATTAGAAAGGATGCCCACAATATATTGTTAAATTTCAAAAGAAATTTGTTTTAGGGCCGGCTCGGTGGCGCACTGCTATAGTGCACCGCTTGGGAAGCGCGGTGGCGCTCCCACCGAGGGTTCGGATCCCACATGCAGACCGGTTCCCGCTCACTGGCTGGGCGAGGGGCGGGAGCAACCCCGAGGGTTGCGATCCCGTGGCCGGTCCTGGTCCGGTATGGGCGCGACACTGAGGGTTGCACCGGTATGCCGGTCACAAAAAAAAAAAAGACAAAAAGGAAAAAAAAAAAAAAGAAATTTGTTTTAAAAAATAAGTACAGTTTGATCCCATGTTCATGAAATAAAAGTGTTGCAGGGGCCGGCCCGGTGGCGCACTGCTACAGTGTGCCACTTGGGAAGCGCGGCAGCGCTCCCGCCCGAGGGTTCGGATCCCATATGCAGACCGGTTCCCGCTCGCTGGCTGGGCGAGG